CTGGAGTTTTTGCTGCGCTCTGCACAAACAGGAGTGTTTGTGATTATCACTCTGCACGACATGTATGGGGTTGGAGAAATTGGAGCCTCTGTTGCAACACTAGCCAGCTAGAACCTATGTTAGCATTTTTAAAATGTTTGCCTTGTACTGGCCTGCATGTTGTCATGCTTTCTGTACCATGTGCCCTAACATGTCAGTACCCACTTTATGGTCCTGATGAGCCCCACCAGCAGGCATAGCTTGTGGAGATTCAGACATGAAGTTATCAGAAGCCTGCTCATAAAACTGAACAACTGCAGAAGTTTTGAGTTTTGGGGATACTGGTCATTTCAGAGGGCTGTTAGAAGATGAATTGGAAATGGAGACGTGCTCCACATCAAGCTCTGCATTGGAGTTTAGAGGGTCTGAATTCTTCATGGCAGCTGTGAGGATGCAGATAAGCTGCTCCTCCTCAGCAGCACAATCTAGTTGTTTGTCAAGGTAGGAGTTTTTGTCCTGGCTAGTTAATAAAGCTAAATTTATTAGTAGCTTGGCTGTTTTACAAGTTGTCACCAAAGATTCTCTCAGGTCATCTAGCCTTTCAATGATGTCAGCCCAGTGTGAGTCCGATAGAGCACTAAAAGAGTTAATCAAGCTTCGTTCTAGAGATTCATTAGATGGCTGTATTGTTGTGGATTGTGCAAGTAGTTTGCTTAGATTTCTCCCTCCCAGAGACTCTGTGGATTATGTGTTCTTGACGTTGTCTGAGTGGGGAATATTGCATTTGTATGTTAAAGTGCCAGTATCCTCTTGGCCGAACTGAGTTAGAAGTGGGCTGACTTTCTCAGAGTGGAAAACACAAATTGGGAAGATTGAAAAAGTGCTCAGGAAGGGCTTCATTTTAAAGAGCATGCTGGGGACTATAGGCTGCCCAAATGTCAGCAGGATTCGACTGCAACTGCCTCTGGGTGGGAGCCATTCTACATTTTGTAAGTCATCAGTTGTCTTCCACAGCATAATAGCTGGCTTAAGGACTGGATGATGGCTTTTTTTAGAACCCCATCTGCCTCTGTTTGCTCTGTTATTTAAGATTTGCAGAGTAATCTTACTGGTTTGTAGGAGACAAACTTTTACAAGGTTTTCACCCTTCTTGCCTTTCTCTGTAGGGTTGCTTAACCTTCTCTTTTCTTCTGCCAGCTATTTGTAGGGCACAGTTTAGACAGAGATCATTTGCTTTGGCAGGGTGGGCAATTTTGTTCAATTGACTCTCAGTAAATTTTGCAAAAGATTCTTTTAGAGAATCTACATTGTTTTTAACTATAGTCAGCAAGTCAAAGTTTGAAAGGATGGTCTGTGCTGATGCCCTCATAGATTATGATTTCTTAATGCTGTTTTTCTTTCATGAAGTTCCAGAGGCAAAATGCAATAGTTAAGCACCACCCATGTATCTTGCGTTTTATTTGGCCTTGTCCTATTTCATATGTATTGACCATAGATGAATGGATCATCATGTGGATCCTAACTCTCCATGCCACCTGAAGCAGGCTCTTACTACCAGATAATATAAATATTCTGTGGTGGCAGTAGCCAGTTTGGGGTGATCCCAAGATTTGTCTGGGTTTTGCTTACCTTGTTTAAACCTCAAATTTGTTGTCTTTAATGTTAATGCATTTTTATCTTCTTTTTGTGGCACAGGAAAACTGAGGTGTCTCAATAGAGGAATGGAATGAGGCAATCTGATTTTTTTTAATGTTTGATTTTTTAAAAAGCACAATAAATTAGCTGCTAGTCAGGAGCCTCACCATTCTTGAAAGGATGGAGGTTCCTAATTTTTTCAATACCAAAAATTCCTTTCCTTTTGAGTCTACTTTGAAAGTCAAAGTCGACAGAAAGAACTTGCCATCTCGCAAAGTTATGTTGTCTGCAATGAGGGCAAAAATGCCTTTTATGTATCGGAGGGATGTTTGCCATGCTGAGTGGCATTACACCCACTACCAGGAACAATGTCTTAAGAATGTAACCAAGAGCATTTGTTTTTCCAAAGAAACTATTAAACACAGAGAACCATCAGCTTTGTCTTATAAAGAATATGACCCTAGAGGTCTATATGATTTTTCCAGTGTCATTTGTCAACATGAACATATTATTCCTAAGAAGCAAAGCCAACCAAGCAAGTTGAAACCATTGAGAAGACTACCTCAGTTCAGGAAATCAGGGATTGCTCTTGTCCAAGAAACCACTGGGAACATCCCTCTGTTCTTAGAAGACTGTATCTGGAAAGCCAAGGTTGAGAGTACCAACGCAGAGCCCACTTGGCTGGTACCTATTCCTCCTCCTCCTCCTCTTTCTCCTCCTTCTTCCGACCTTCCAAATGTTCAGGCATTCCTGACCAAACCCCTTGAGAAGTTAGAAGACCCAATTAGCAAAAAATGGTCCAAATCCACAATCTGGGATGAACCAGAACAAGAAAAACTGGGATGGGAAGAAAGACTGTTGACAAAGATAAGCAAAGCAACAGCTCAATGGATTGTGAACAATCAATCCTCCTGGGGAGGCTGGGTTCAGGGTAAACTAAAGCATTTCAAGAAGCAAAAGTACGACTGGAACAGCATCAGATATGTACTCCTTTGTGAAAATGATGTGAAACTGCTGGATGAAATTCTGGTAGAAGAAACAGTAGAGGGAGGTCACAGAGATGAACAAAAGAAATTAGAGACACCTCTTTCTGCTTACTATAGGTAAGACAATGATTATTATTATAATAGAAGGGAATATGTGTAGCTCAGGGTTGAACTGTGGAGTGCTTGGTGCTCTCTGCACTTGGTTGTTTGCTTGCAGATGTTTCATTACCTGACTAGGTAACATCATCAGTGCTAGTAAGTGGGGCTTTGTTTCCTGTTTATATACAGTAGTTTTCACTGCCTGTGTTGGTGGGGGTGTGGTTTTCTCCTTCTAGTTTCTTTGGACATGCAGATCTGCAAGGTTTTTAAGTATTCCTTCTATTGTTGCTGACTGCCACCAAAGACCTGAAAGTTAAGTAGAAAAGTACCAGAAGAAGAATGTTGGGGAGAATATTATTTATAGCAAGGATATAAGACTGCTAGCTCTTTTCAGGTGCCCCACTCAAAACAAGTTAGAGGGGATTCAGCAATTATTAATAACAGGCAGTAAAATTTTAAAAAACTACCATGAACTTGAATGGACTATGATAAATTAAAGCCAGAACTAGAAGAGTACTTACCAAATTTCCAGGCTTTTTCAGACCATTTTCATTTCATTTCATTTCGTTTATATGGTCGCCCACTTGCTAAGTGAGTTGGGGAACAGATGTCATTTCAGCCTCCTTGTATCAACTTCCTGTGATCATAAAAGTGTGCAGTTTGTATTTTCACTATCTTCCTCTTAGTCTTGAAGTCATCTTGAAGGAACATATGCAAAGATGTCTAAAAACATCTTCTAGAGCAAAATTAGTATTTCTAATTTTAGTTTCTGTCCAAAAGGGAATAACTGTACCTTATTAACATGCCATATGAATCAGTGCTGGGTTTTGATCTACATCTCCAACAATTAGCTGAATCCATCAATTTCTTCCTGTTATGCCTAGTTATCCATTAGACACAGAATGGTATTTTCTGAAATAAGAACAAAACAAAACAAAACAAAACAAAAAACCCTCTGAACCATGAAAAAACTGCAAAGAATCCAGTTCTACCTCTAATCTATGGTTCTTTTGAATTAGGATTTTTTGGTATGATCCTGGCTACTACTAAATTAATCACTGTTTAAAGGGTTACCGCTTCTCCCCTTCCTCCTGACACTTTACATTTTCCAATTTTTCTCTTAGGAGCCTTTTTTGTTTCCCCAGCTCTCTTCACTGCTGGCACTCCCACCTCCTTGCCTGTTGTTAGACAGCAACTGCTAGAACATCTCTGCAGTGAACTGAGATTCTGGTCTAGATTAGGGAGCTTTCTTTTTCTGAGTAGCCTGGAAAAAGGTAACATGGGTAGATGGTACCAACAAATCTAGTGTTTTTTGCAGCTTTGCTTGAAGCTTTTGGAGTTCAGCTTCAAACTGCTCCATATCTTCTTTATCACCCTGAATCTTCAAGCTCTCAAAATGTTCCTCCTTTTCTTCAATAGCTTGGTGGCAAGCAAAGATACACTGATATTCTTTTCTTGAACTTTAGGAACCAGCCATAATAAACTGTTCTACTTAAACCGTTGGACGATCATCTATCGTGGAGGCTTTAATTTAAATCCCTGCACAGACCAGGAAGGTGGACTCAGTGGTCTCTGGTTTCAGACCTACTTCTGGCCTGAGCTCTTCCCTAAGAACTATTCATATATTATTATTTACTATTTGATTTGATTTATAAATCTGCTTAATCATGAGTGAGTCAAGGAAGTATATGACGAGGATTAAAAAGACATAATAAAATAGAGTATTTCATGTGTGTCAAAGCCTACTAAATAAGCTCCATTTGTGATTGATGGGTCCCATTTGTTTGGATAAATCACAAGTTGCATAATTTTCTCCAATTTGACAATCTCTGGTGTATGTTATGTACCATAATTCCTATCCAGCTAGCCAGCATGGCCAATTGGTTAAGCTTATTGATTTATTTCCATACAAATCATGTTAACTTTCTTTCCATACAAATCATGTCCACTGAAAACTTCCAGATTGCCATCTTTTCATACAAGAGCGCTGCACATGGATGATCCAACCTTTCACAATCAAACAGCAGAAAAAATATCAAAGAAATGTCTCAGACCAGTGACTCCGATTAAACGTCGTGAACGACTGCACTCCAGGGTTGGGAAACATTCATATACTACTCAGAATGTCTTTGAACAAGAACTTTATTTTGGTAAGTATAAGGGGAATGACTAAAGAGCCTTAGTTTTATATAGAGAAAGGCTGATTCAAAATTTGGCTCCATTATTAGCTTGCAGAAAATTCTGTAATGCCAGATCAAATCTTGTGTACTGAAAGACGTGACAAATATAAGAATAGTAGATATTAAAACAATAATGTCTTCATTTATTTCAAGACTTGCATGGTGTCTATCCTATCTGAAACTTTTTAACATTTTAGGTAGCAATGGTGAAAGAAGACTATTTTCCTACCCATGTTTGTGAGCTTCCCAAATGCATCTGGTTGACCACTAAATGACATAGAATGCTGGATCAGATGAGTCTTTGGCCTCATTCATTTTGCAGATTGTCAGATTCTCATCTTCCTCAAAGGACTCAGGAAACATTACAGGCTAAGAGATGCTTAACCAGTAAACTTTGTGTCTGAACATTGGTTTGTACATAGGACATCCTCTAAACACTATAAACTACTATACCATACATATGTGATATAGAAAATTGTTCAGTATCTGGAAATAATCAGTGTTGAAATAATCAGTGTTAAACCAAATGGTTTCTTTCCTCCCATATACTTTTAGGGTCAGCCAAGATTATCCATCAAGAAACCAAGAAGGATCGTATCATTCTGGATAATCATGATGAGTATAACAAACATCTAGAACAATGCTATCCAAGACCTCCAGAACTCTGGAGTTTCAGATCATCAAAAAGGACAAGTAAGAGAGGACTGCTGTACTAATTTCCCGTCTCATTTTCTTTACCATTCTCATTCTCATTTGAGAGAGAAAATATTGCTTTCAAAAATGTGTTCATAGACCAAAATAGTCTTTTTCAAAGAATTTAAAAAAAAAGTGAAATTAGGGGACAGATTTTGGCATTTCACATCAACTATTGTTTGTTAAAGGCTATTCTCATTTTCAACCTGAAGAAAGTAAAGAAATACATATTTCACTGTAAATCCTAGAAGAAAAAAGACCCTTAACGGGGACTATGTAGGTTTATAATGTTTTTAATCACCTGTGTCCTTATATACAGTATAAAACATTTTTATTTCAATTTTTTTTTCAGAATTGTTGAATCAATCTAAGTACTATAATTTTTCTGTCACACAATTTCCTAATCATATTCTAATATACAACTTCCTGAAATTATCCAGAAGTAGCTATTCTCCCTTAATCAAGGAAAATATCCTGATACAGATTACCTGTTCCCCATCGGGGGAAGGGGGATTAAAAAAGTCAAGATGGCTGCAGCCGTTCTATTGAAGCACTTTTTTTTTTTTTTTAACAAGTGCTTTGTAGTCTTAAAGTCAGGGTAGGGCTTTGATCACATGGTTGCCATCTTGACTTTTTTTTACCTCTTTCATGGACAGTCCTGCCTGTCTCATGTTGTGGATCATGCTAATGGTTAAAAGCTTTCATCCCCACCAATTGTGAATTAGCCTGCTCTGCCATTAACAGGATTTGTTTTGTATGGGAGAAAATTCTAGTTCCTCACAAAAACTGAGTGGGTTTTTTGCCCTTTACATATACAGGTAGTTAGGATGGAAAAGAAGAAAAACTGCTATTTAATTATTTATCTAAAATCTTCTCTGGTTTGTCAAAATTAATTTTCCAGGTTACTCCACCTGTTTGCCTGACTTGATCTACTGTATTAGAATTTCATTGTTTACTGACTGCTATGTATTTCAGTTGCATCACTTTGACCCTTACACATGCATTTAAAATAATTCGCCAGTTTTTCCCCTTTAATGCTTCCACTTCAGCATTTACAGCTAAAACAATCTGCTTTGTGTTCCATATGTCTTGACTACCCATATTCACTGAATTCCAATGTGTAACATTTCTATCCAGATATTATCCAATTATGCTGAATAACACAAAGGCCATTGGAATAATTTAAGATTTTGCTGTAAACCATTCACTATATAAAGAGAGCTAAGAGATGTCAGATTTGTTCTTTAGCCATTCATCTCTGCTTTTGTTCATGACTTTTGCAAACAAGAACTAATAAGGATAGGTTACTAACTAGTTTTAATTAAAATTATTCTGGATTAGCTAAAAAAGTACAGAAAGGAATGATCCACTGGAAAGCACTTCCCACTCTTATTGAAGACTTTACCCAAGTGGATGAAGCACAATCATCTATCCCAGCTGGAAGAGAAAGAGATCTGCTCACTAAACATGAAGAAAATGCATCTGAGACTGTTCGTATCCGTAGGACAATGTTGGAACAGTGGAAAGCTGCCTGGAAATTTGGTGAATACTCTTATTCTAGTTATGGCTTTAATTTGTCATAGTCTATTCAAGTTAACTTCAAGAGTGGGGATGGCTAGCCCCATAGAGGCCTGCTGTCTTCAGCCCCAGATTCTTCATCTCTTGG